TAACATATAGTCCTGCATCATTTTAATTTTGATACTTCTAAGTAACAGTTAATATCTATCATTTTCCTAACGCATACACTAATACCCATTCTGATTACTTATTTATTTAACAATATTTATTTAACAATAGATCATTTTGCAATGTAATATTTTCAGCCAATTTTCTCCTTGGGCTTTTTCTGCTCAAAAAAGATTATATCCAATCAATCACTGCAACATTTCCTATTCATTCTCTGTTTTCCTCACTCCTTTTTTGAGGGCGATAGAACTCTGTATCTACAATAATAGATCTTCCTGCCTCATGGGATAACATAGTCACAGAAAGAAGGAAACAAAATTAAACTCTTGTCAAGAATATTGTTTTCTTACTTAATATAATCAATACTGTCACTATCGTTATCATAATCATTATTAATACTGTCACCATTATTATTAACTATATCAGTTCATATTTGTATTTTCAGTCCATTTCCATAGAATTTAAACTTTTAAAGTATTGTAGTCTTCCTAAATTGATGTAATATAGTCATAGCAGCATCAGTTTTACTCAGCATTACTATACATATCTTTATGGCTTTATTTTTCTTCCCTTTCTCTCTCTCTCTCTGTCTCTCTCTCTCTCTAACTTTCTCGCTCTCTTTCTTTTCCCCTTTTATTCTTTCTTATGGAGTCAATAAAGCAACCCTCCTCTCTTCCATAAAACACAAATACAGTAAAAGAAATAGGTTAACATGTTAAAAAAAAAAACAAAAAAAAAAAAAAAACAAGCAAATCACCTGCATGATTTCCTTTGACTATAGATTTGAAAAGGTGATGAAGGACATGTAGTGAGGAGTATAAGCACATAATGTACATACAATAGAACCATGATGATGCTGCGCTAACCCATACTCTCTTACTCTAGAGACAAAAGACTATTGACTGTATTCCCAAGTAAATATGGCATGTCCTTGTTGTTTTCAACAATAGTACCCTTTCTTCTGACTGATTTCTCTGTCCTGAAGGCTGTGTCATTGATTTCCATTTTGTTCTATGCCCTCTACCTAATTACCAGTGAGTAGCATCACCATCTTAAAGGTCATTCAGGTGGAACAGTCACTCCACGCGCCCATGTACCTTTTTCTTTCCATGTTGGCAGTTAGTGACCTGGGACTGTGTGCTGCCACCCTGGTCACCCTGCTCAAGCTTTTCTCATTCAATGTCTGTGAGGAAGACATTGAGGCCTGCCTCATCCAGATGTTCTTCATCCATAATTTTCCTTGATGGTGTTAAACATCCTCTTCACAGTGGCTTTTGACCCCTTTGTGCCATCTCCAACCCACTCAGGTACATTACTGTTTTGACAAATTCCACCATTGCCAAGATTGTTGTGGGGCTTTTGCTATGGACTGTGGCAGTCATCTTCCTAGGACCCTTTCTAATTAGGTGAATGAGGTTTTGGAAGGCTAATGTGTTATCCCCCTTATACTGCCCACACACCCAGTTATCATCAAGCTCTCCTATTGTGACCATCATGAGCATCTATGGCCTCATTACCATTCTCATCACATGTGAAGTGGACCTCGTACTCATTTTCCTCTCTTATTTGAAGATTCTGTCACTGTCTAGGCATTGTCTCCTGGGAAGAAAAGTTCAAGGTCCTAACATTTGTGTTTCCACATCTGAACTGTGCTGCTGGTATATGTCCCTATGCTGGGGATATTCATTATGCATGATTTTGGGAAATATGTTCCACCCATGGTGCACATTATCATGAGCTATACATATCTATTGACCCCTCCTGTTCTCAAGCCTGCTGTATACTGCATTAAAATCCAGGAGATACACATCTGTACTTTGGGTAATCTACTGAAATTATAGCAGAAAGAATGTTAGAATCATTTATATATTTCTAGAATAATTTTTCTGAAATTAACTTCTAACTGGAACAAAGAAAGCATTTATCCCTGAGAAATATTCCTATGTTTACAATTCTCATGCACTTGTCTCTCTCACTATTCTGGAAGCTTTTGAAGATAGCAATGCTATCTTATAACCTTTTATTTCCCACATGTAACTAATCTAAAATAGATAATAAATAACTATAAAAATACAAAGTGTATTCTCAATAATCGATGTCATCAGAAAGCCCCAATATTCATAGAAATCAGTGGTTTATTAAAATGTCTGTAATGTAAAATATAAGGCATTCCATGATTTTTCACTACCTATCCTTGAAATTATATTTAATTTTTATATTATATATTTTCATTTATGAGAGTTTTATTTTTAGTATTACTTTACAAGTATATTATTCTATTTTACCATGTACCTTTTTTGACCCTATTGACAAATAGGCATGTAAAGCTTAGATAACTATGCAGAAAATTACAGAATAGTTTTTTTTATATGATTTATATCAGTTCTCCTGGCATGGATTATAACCTTGATTCTTTTTTGTTCACTTTGTTGTTTATGATTTTGTTTTGGAGTAACGTGAATAGTTAAGGTGAGACACTATCTTTTGAGATCAACTACAAAGATAAGACCAAGACCTGTATTTTGGTATGTAGGAAAATTCTAAAAGAATATTATATTATTGAACCCTATCTTGAATGTTCATCAGTGGGGAAAAAAAAAGCACAGTTTTATATTATTCAGTATTTTCTGACATATTAAATATTTTCCCAACACTGGTAATGAAGGCGATCATGGATGTCAAGAGAAGAATTGCACGGTGAATTCATATTGGTAAATTAAAATAGACGATTTACTAGATCACTTTGAACTAAGAAGGTCCATGATTTCAGAGTTCAAGAGTACATGAAGGTACAAACATAATTAATTCTAAAAATAAAATTATATATGAAGGCAGCTGCCATTGATTTCCATCTCCAAATACTGAATAGCTTCATAATTATTTATTGTCACTAAAGGAATCTCCTTATTTTAATGGTATTTTGTAACCTTTGCAATAAACGTGCCTCACTTCTCTGGCTAGCCAATATTTAATGAGTCAATTTTCATTTTCCCCACAGGTAAATATATATTCATAAACTTCTTTTAATTAATAATAGGTTTGTATTTTTCTTTAGTCTTATCATGTATAATCTCCACCAAAAATCGGGGCTTATAACCATAGTTTATATATTCCTCTCCTAATACAGGTGGTGTATCTATATATACCATGTACACCATCTAATAACATGAATTGTTATTATAAAAGGTAAGTCTAGTCAGCAAATCCAAATACTGACTGTGGGTCTCAGGTGCTAAAGCAATCACTCCACATGTAAAATACCCAAAAGACTTCTCGGCCCAGAGGATATTTTTTGAGTTGTTTTTATAAACATTGCTGTATAATACAGATGACTATATGTATATATACAGCTCCTTTTTTTTTCTGAATTCTTATAAGCTAGATATGACCATCTAGCTCTTGAGATCTAAGACTTAAGACCTAGGAATATCACTAGGAAGAAACTCAAGATATGCTTTTTTAATGTTCCCAAATATTTGGAAAAAATCATGCATCTAAAAGGTACATTAGAATAGTTTAGTGGTTAAAACTTTGGGCTCTGCAATTAGGATCACTGAATTTTAAAACAGGCTTTATGTTCTTATTAGTGCTGTAATCTTGGGAAAGTCCTTCAATGCCTGAGTTCCCTTCTATATAAAATTGGGACACTAACAATAGCTATTTTATAGGGTAGTGGTGACCATTTGATTGAATAATCTACATAAAGTGGTTAGAATAGTTTTTAGGAAAATATTTAGCATTTGTACACATTGATAAATATTTACAATGATTATTTTTACCATTACTGCTATATTACCCATCCCTGTGCTGATATGCAATATGTTCTTTATTTAAATATGTTGGTATTCTCTGTGTGGTAGTTGCACAGCAAAGACCAGCACTGCAAAGGAAACAAAGCCTCAGTTTTACGAGGCTAAATATGGTGGTTACACCTCCATATGGTTGGTTAGTAGCTCTTTTTAGATGAACAGCATTTATTATCCATAACTTTGAAACTTCCTAAGGTCTACAATCAAAAAGTCTTCATAGATATACATGGTGCCTTTGCAGTATACTGCATTTGATTATAAACTTGACTAAGTCAATGTTTTATAGCTCTGGTGATAAACGATTTGAAGAAAAGCAATTTTTATTTTCTAATTTGTGATATATTAAAAAGAAGAACTGCTGTTATTTCTTAAAATTTGCTAAATTTTGATCTTATTCTTTTGTTGGTGAATATAAAAATTATAGTCACTCTATATAAGGCTCTTTCAATGATAGGTATTGAATAATTATGAAACTTGACATTCTTTAGTGACTTTCTTGTTCTGAATGAGAACATTCCATATTCTGAATTTTTGTCTTCTTTCACTCCAATTTATGGTCATTGAGTGGTAATACTTATTAAGATATGATTAATATTACAACTTTGGCATAGCAGCTTAAATTTTACTTTAATTCAACCATTATCTTTAAGAGTTCAAATGAGAGACAGATGAATTAAACATTTTTCTCTATTGTAGAAGAATTAACCAGGCGAACATATTTTCTACCCTTAGGATGGGGAACATAAATTGGTGTCTTCAAGCTGGCTCCAGTTATATATCATCCAACCCATCTTCTGCCATTAAATTTGTCTATTGCAGAAGGGAATATGAACTCTCTCCAGTGTTATATTCAGTTTTGTGAAAAGAGAAAAAGTTATGTTTGGAATTTAAGAACTTATTATCAAGTTAGAAAGGCAGGAACTATATACATAATACGTTAAAAGTTTAAAACTCATGCATAAATTATGTGGCTATAGCAATTACTTTTACAAAAATAAAAGATTCAACTATTGATTTTTCTGATTAATTTTTTTTTTTTAGGGAGAACAAGATGTCTCCTAAAAGAGAAATGGTTTGCCCATGATCATTTCGTTATTTACTAATTTTTCTCAAACCATTTTATTCTCCTTCTGCTTCATCATACCAAAATTAATAGTTAGGATTCGAGTAGGATGAGGAAATGCTCATTTTCTACTGTTATTTACATTCTTTTCTCTGTTTTTCATATAATAGACTTTGGCTACCTCTCTATAACAGCATCCAACTATACATCCACTTCCCTCATAGCCTTTATGCTAACTGGAGTTCCAGGATTAGAAGACTTCCAGATCTGGATCTCCATCCCTTTCAGCTTCATGTACCTTTTGGCTGTGACAGGCAATGGCCTGGTTATGGCAGTGGTGGCCTGGGACAGAAGCCTCCATGAACCCATGTATTTCTTCCTGGCCATGCTGGCACTCAATGATGTCCTTCTTTGTACTGTCACAGTACCCAAAATGCTTCTTATCTTCTGGCAGGGACCTTCCCCATCAACGTTTCCTGCATGTCTCACACAGATGTTTTTTGTTCATGCTCTGTTCCTCTCTGAATCTGCTGTTCTACTGGCCATGGCTTTTGATCGCTATGTGGCTATCTGTGCACCACTCCATTATGCAACCCTATTTACAGGCTCTCTCATTAGCAAGGTGGCCCTGGCTCTGATGTTTCGTAGTGTGGCTGTAGTTACCCCTGGTGTTCTCCTCATTCTTCGTCTGCACTTCTGTGGGAGCAACATTATCCGCCATACCTACTGCGAGAACATGGGCATTGCCAAGTTGGCCTGTAATAGCATTACCCTTAATAGCATTTATGGGCTCACTGCAGCTCTCCTCACTACAGGGCTGGACTTTGTTCTCATATCCCTGTCCTACTGGGTAATCCTGAAGACAGTCTTTAACCTTCCTTCCAGGGAGGCCCGGACAAAGGCCTTTGGAACCTGTGGAGCTCATATATGTGTCATCTTGATATTCTACACGCTGGCCTTCTTTTCCTTCTTTATTCATCGCTTTGGAAAGCATGTGCCGAGGCACACCCTTATTCTCCTAGCAAATCTCTACTTACTGGTGCCACCTACCATGAACCCCATTGTTTATGGGGTAAAAACAAAACAGATAAGGATGAGACTACTAGGGCTCTGTAATCATTCAAAATGATCCAAAGGTTACAAAGCAACAGGAACAGGGGAGTCCAGGATGGGGACCAGGCTTAAATGTCATCTGAATTAATCTGGGCACATCATTCTCCAGAACACTTAACTTCTGGATAGAACTGGAAATATTCATATTTGTAAGTGCTATCTTCCTAACACTGATACACAGGAAACTAAAGAAATTGCTCAGGTTTTATCAAGGAATATCTCAGCATATTAAGGTAATAAACAGTGGAATGTCACTATAACAGCATAAGGGGTTTAAATATCTTTTGTATAATACTCAAGACTTTCTGTGTCAATTTGCTATAGATGGGACAAAATGTAAACTCCATATATTCAGGGATTAGTGCTGATCCCAAAATTATCATTACATCCAGAGGACCCAGCATATACAAGTATTTTAATAAACATGTGTTTACTAGATAAATGTCTTAGCTAATCAACTAATAAATGCTAATGATTTTACGTAACAAACTCCCTAACTTGTTCTTATATATTATATGGGGCCTATAATTCAAGTACTTACTTTCTTCTCAGAAATCATTCCCTAAACTTTCAGAAAGTATCTCTTTCAATATCTTAGTGCAGTCAAGATTCCTTTTGTTGCACACAGTTGAAATTGACTTTGGTTAGATTAAATAAACAAAAAGCAGGTTCTGAATTATATCATGACATCCAAGGATAATTTGAAGGACTATGACTCAGGAAGGACAAAAGCCAGACTGTTCTAGGGCCTCAACAGCAGGACAGCATGAATTTCTCTAATGGATTTGGTGATACTATTCTGTCCCACCTGCAATGGTTATGGGACAAGAAATATCATTGCCCCATATTGGGTCAAGTTGCTAAACCTGGATCAATCTGTTATGTCCCTTAATATTCTGACTTAATGGGGATGGGATTATGTCAGAACAATTCTCAAGACAGGAAAGCATGCCAAATGTGAGGATTATGTTCATTAGATTCATTTGGCTCTTTCATATAAGTACATGAGATTTTCCTAGTTTAGCTCTTCCCACACCAAACATTCTTGCTAATTGCATTTATATCACATGGCACATACTTTATCAACTATAAACCTCTCTTCTCATGGTTAATAAAAGAGTTAACTTATTTCCCTGGCATCAGAAAATGAAAAGGTGAATCATGAATATAATGTAAACATAAGCATAGTTTAGCAGTGGAAGTAATTGGATTAAATGCCTTAAAAATATTTATGTCATTCTCTTCATAATTGCATATGTTTTTCATATTTTATGTGCAATAAGGCTGTTATCCATGCAGTGCTTTTTTTAAAAAGGAAATTATGGTTTTATTCTTTAAGTCATTAGACTGAATGATAGAATGGTATATGGGAGTGTTCTGCAACAATATTTTGTATTAAAAATGTCAAACAGATGGTGAAGGGAATAATAGTTTTCTCTGTCATTTTTGTCTTGCCATCGTATTTTGTCACAAATAGAATTCTGCAACAAAAAGATGATCCATGCATAATCCAAAAGATAACATTTGATATTATGAACACACTTGCTTTGCATTTTGCCTAATGGAAAGGGATTGAAATACAAAAATAAATGATTATTTAGGCTTTTGTATATCCTACAGATTCTGCAAGAAGGCAGAGAATGCTCTCACAAGGCAAATAAGTATGCATGACTTAATCAAACAAGTTAAGAAAATCTCCTAATTTATAAATCTATATACAAATGAGACAGATGTGTCAATTATATTGTAATTCTAGGCAGGAACAAGGGACTTCTTGTTTCAGGATCCCTCGCTGCTTGCCAGAACACTGGACTCCAGCCCTCAATAAAGCTTTGAAAATAAGTTGATGCTTCTCTTCTCAATTCATAATACAACCTTGCCACCCTTGCTACCCCTTTCTTCATTCATTCATTTGTTCATTCATTCATAGATTTAATCACTCATCTCTCACTAACTATATTTTACTGGAAAGAATTATCTTAATATTGAGAATATGTATTTTTCAAATAGCTTTGGTAAAATATATTTTGCATGTATAATATGATTCTAAAAATAAACATAAGGAGTATAGTAGATAAAATTTAGGTTATTTTTGCAGAAATCCACTTAAATAGTTGTACTGGTATGTAAAATTTAAAATTTAGATGCAATAGTTTCAATATATATGTTAGCAAAAAAAAGTTGATAAAACCATCTTTAGGAGCACAGTACTAGCAATGGTGTATTCATCATCCAGAGGTTAAAAATATATTTTGTATTTGAAGGTCTTATTTTAAAGATGATTATAAATAGCTAAATGTTATTTGTACAAACAACATGCAGCTGATGGTAATGTTTACATTGTCTTCAAAATAGTCTTTTTTCTATCAATTACATTTTACTTATTTATTACAGTGAATATTATCTAATTTCGATATTCACATAATTTGCCTATTTTTATTTGATATCTCTTTCATCAAGGTGAATGTGCTTAAGAAGAGGGGTAATAGAAGTACAATCAACAAATAAGGTAAAGTGAGGGTGGGAACAGACATAACTTGAAATAAAATCAGAGACCAAAATAGGTTTTTAGAAATTCTAGATATATTCTATATGCCTAAAATTTGAAATTATAAATTTAAGTTAGTAAAGTCTCTCTTATTATATGAAACATGGGCTCATGACAGGTAAAAAGTTTTCTTCCCTGATTAAAAATATATACACCCAACTAGTCATTTTTTATTTAATATCTCATTTCATTTTTCTTCATTCATTTTTTTATCATTTATACATTCTATAATAATTAAGTGCCTCTATTACACAAAGCATAAGTTTGATTCTTACAGGTAACAGATTATTTGAGGCACAGTTTCTACAGTAGCTAGAATAGGGCATATGAAAATATTTCATTTATTATTAAGACTTATACAAATATTAGAAGGTTTAAAAGTCTTCCTTTTTCCCTTTGTTTAGTTTTTGCCTTTGAACAAGTATAGACATGTGGATCATAAAAATTCAATTAAATTTGCAAGTTTTTTTTTTTATACAACTCTTTGCACAACCATGTACCTGATAATTTCAGGGATATATATAAAAAAAAAAAGATAGCATTGCATATTGAAAAGAGTTCTAGATAAAAATTAAGAGACCTGTATTATTTGTTTCCTGTGATCATAACTTATAAGTAGCTATACCTCAGTAAGTTAAATTTCTTTTATAGTTAAATAAATAATATACCCTATATAATTATTAAGATACATTTAATCCAAAGAATTATAATCAATAATTTCATATGTCAGTATCTGGAGGCTTTTAATAATTACTGTCTCATTTTCTGTAGGATTAAAATTATATCTAAAAATTAAGTAAAAGAAAAAAATTGAGGGTGCACCTCTCTATTTCTGAGGAAATTAAATCTTAGAAAGGGCAGAACATGTGTATAAACTGTTCAAGGTAATGCTGATGCACCATGAGGATTGATCATTTCTGCTTTGAGCCTTAATATAAAATTATTTTCCATCTTTAAAGTAAAGAATATGCAGATTTACAAACACATTTATAACCAGAAAGGTAATATAAGATTCCCTGACAAACATAGAATGTCAAGAAACAGAGATACAGGTTTAGTAATCTCTCTGGAAATAAACCACAATACCCTGAATATTGATATTGTGAGCAAGGGCATGCTCATGCCAGTGAGGGAAAGCAGAGCCCTAATAGCTAGAGAAGTCAAGCAACTACTCATACATCTGTTGGCCATTTGTCTTCTTGGGATAAGTGTCTGTTCAGGTCTTCTGCCCATTTTTTAGTTGGATTGTTTGGGGCTGAGCTGTAAGAGTTTGTTATATATTTTGGATTTAACCCCTTGTCAGAAGTGTTGTGTGTGAATATCTTCTTCCATTTGTTTGGTAGCTGTTTATTTTGTTGGAGGTTTCTTTTATTATGTAGAAGCTTTTTAGTTTGATATAGTCCCATTCCTTTATTTTTGCTTTTACTTCCTTTGTCTTTTGGGTCAAATTTATAAAACCCTCTCTATGACCAAGGTTCATAAGTTTAATACCAATTTTTTATATGTAACTTATTGTTTCAGGTCTATATTTAGAGCAATCAGGCAAGAGAAGGAAATAAAGGACATCTAAATTGAAACTGAAGAATTAAATTTTTTACTGTTTGCAGATAACATGATTCTTTACATGGAAAACCTTAAAGACTCTACCAAAAAAAAAAATTAGAAACAATAAACAAATAAAATAAAGTTGCAGGATACAAAATTAATGTACAAAAATCTATTTTAGTCCTATATTCTTTTCTTTTAATTGTTGAAAGTATTGCATATGTCCCTTCTTCAGTCCTATATTTTAACAATAAAATTTCAGAAAAAGAAATGGAAAAAACAATTTTTTTTTACAATTGCAACAAAAAAGAAAAAAATATATATCTAGGAATAATCATAACAAAAATGTGAAGGATCTACACACTAAAATCTACACAGCATTACTTTATAAGATTGAAAAACACACAATGGCTCAAAATGGATAAAAGACTTAAATGTGACTCATGAATCCATAAAAATCCTAGAAGAAAATATAGGCAACAAAATTTCAGACATCATAGGCAGCAGAATTTTCACTGATACATCACCTAAGGCAACAGAAACGAAGGAGAAAATGCACACATGGGACTATATCAAACTAAAAAGCTTCTGCACAGCAAAAGATACAATCATCAAAATGAAAAGGCAACGCACTGTATGGGAGAGTATAATTGCCAGTGATACATCAAATAAGGGGTTAATTTCCAATATATATATAGAGTGCTCATACAACTCAACAAAAGGAAGACAAAAAACCCAATTAAAAAATGGGCAGAGGATCTAAATAGACACCTCTCCAAACAGGACATACAAATGGCTAAGAGACATATGAAGAAATGCTCAGCATCACTAATCATCAGAAAGATGCAAATTAAAACAACAATGAGGTATCACCTCATTGTCAGAATGGCCGCCATCAACAAATCATCAAACAACAAGTGCTGGCGATGGTGTGGAGAAACGGGGCTCTAGTACACTGCTGGTGGGAAGGCAGACTGGTGCAGCCACTATGTTACCTCAAAAAATTAAAAATTGGCCCTGGCCAGTTTGGCTCAGCGGTTAGAGCGTCGGCCTGCGGTACAGAGAGACCCGGGTTCAGTTCCCGCTAAGGGCACGTACCTCGGTTGCAGTTTGTCCCCGGCCCTGGTTGGTCGTGCAGGTGGCAACCACTCGATGTGTCCCTTCACATCGATGTCTCTCTCTCTCTTCCTCTCTCTCCCTCCCGCTCTGTCTGAAAAAAAAAAAAAATGCAAAAATGTCCTCGGGTGAGGATTAAAAAAAAAAAAATTAAAAATTGAATTGCCATTTGACCCAGTGATTTAACTTCTAGGAATATACCCTAAGAAGCCTGAAACACCAATCAGCCCCATTGGGTTATGAGAGAGTCAACCAATCAATGTGTCTCTCTCACATTGAGGTTTCTCTCTCTTTCTCTCTTCCTCCCTCCCTCCCTTCCACTCTGTCTAAAAAATCAAAGAAAAAATATCTTTGGGTGAGGATTAACAATATACATATTGTTATAGGTTAATATATATAATTATATATTAATGATTATATATTAATTTAAATATATATATGGCATCAAAAGAAAACATTTTGTTGCATTACATTTTCTCATAGAAAATTAGGAATTATGTGTATTCAACCAAATCAAAAAATCATTTTGTAAAGTCATGCGGTTATAAACTTGAAACAATTTTATCTAAGTAGCATATCTATAAACTAATTTCGACCAACCATATGTCCATAACAAAAGAAGTTTTATAATGAACCAAATTCCAGAGAAAAATAAAGTATCTGTTTTTCCCCTCTTTTTTGATCTTTAACAAAAATGTGGGAGAATAACTCTGAGGACTTGGTGCTTTCTTCAGCTCCAGAGTCTCTGCTCTGGCAGGTTTGGGGCTCCCCCCAGGGAAAAAAGCTCCGTGGGGCTTCCTGCACACCTGAGTCATTTTCTTGGCTCCGGAGAGGCTGTTGTTCTGGAACTATTTATAAAGTTGAGGCTAGCTGAAAAGGCAGTGAACTAAATAAAAGCAGGTCAGGAGCTTCTGATGATACAGGGCAGGTAATGTCAAAAATAACACAACCACCTCTGTATCTCCCTCATCACCAGATGAAGAGCCCTGAGTACCTCTTCAAGGCCAAAGGGATAGAAGAACAGAAAGACTTTGGAAGATTAAAATGAGTGCTCTTGGCTAGTAGGGGTGAGGCAATGATGGGGTGATTATTAGTATCTCCTGTAAAGGAACCATAACGTAATTTTTACTGCATCTTTATACTTATTTCTCTCACTTCAGGGTCTGAACCAACTGCAATATTTCTTGAACCACCAGATCTTAATTTGCTTTAGGATTTTTCTTTCTCCCAGTAGCTTCATAGTCCTCGCATCTGATCTTCTTTCTAGGAAAGACATACCATACAGCTGAGGTTTCTGAGGATAACTAAGGCCAGTGAAAAGAGGAGACATAAAGTAACAGCCCTTGACTCCCTGTTTAGTAAAGCCCTAGGGCAAAGTATATACATTAGCATTTGTTGTATGGACAACAGACTGAAAGATAAGCCAGATAACTTAACATATTTATCAAGGAGGTGAGAGTGAGAAACTCTAGGCTGTGGGACAGAAAGAAGCAGCACCTGGGAAGAGAGGAGGTGTGTGAGTTTCATCTTTTTTCTGATTCTGCATGCTCAGGAATGCTACCCAAACATGTCACGTCTGAAATAGCTATCATTGTTCCTGAAGTGAGAAGCAGGCACTTTGTGATTTACTGAACAAAACTCAGTTTCTGTAATGGCAATGGGACAAAGAGGAAGAAATCCCAAGCGAGTATTGTATCCATGTGGCTTCTGGAGAAATAGACTAAGCGATGATGACCTAAATAGAATCCAGGCTATCTGAGTTCTGCATTTTATTACATCCTACTGGAAAAATATCTAAGGACATCTGAATTTCTAATTCAGGCCTTGGTTACTAAGTCTCCAGAAGAAAGTGAAAACCCCCCAAAATGGTGAGTCTACAGTTTGATGAATGTGGAAAGAAAGTCTCTGTAGTACAAAAGAATATCCTCCTGAAAAAAGAGCTTTTGGATTTACCGTAGGGACCAAGTAATTCTCTACTGTGCAATGTACAAAAAATTTCACAGTGATTACATTGTTGTTTTACATTTCTAAAATTGCATAATTATCTTTATAGTTTTTCTTAAAATTGGTAACATTTTGTCAGATTTGGTCCTCTTTTAAATGGAATATTCTCTCTTTTATTTTTACCGTTCTACTCAATTACACTTTTTATTTTTGTTTTCTTCATCATTCCCTTTTTCCTATTTTCGTAGAAATTATTGTTGGTGTTATTTTAGAATTTCTGATTAAAGTTTTTTCTTTATTTTCTTTTTATTACCCATATAATAAAAGCACTGCAGTCTATGAATTTATTACAAAGTTCAGAATTGGAATTATGCCATACAGATGGCGTATGTTCTCATGTTTTGTATTATTGCTTCTTGATTTATTCTTAAATTGAAGAGTTGTTGTGAAAAGTTAATTGAATTGCACAGTCATGGATGTGCTTCACATACCTTTTACATATTACTATCTAGTTTATAAACTTCTATTTTATTTACTAACGTAAAGGCATTATTCAAAATAAATCTTGCACTATATAGGGTGGAGCAAAAGTATATTTAAAATTTTTCACATGGAAAATAATACAATAATTAATAAATAAAAATGCAAGAATAAATAATAATGCAAGAATAACTCTGTATCTCATGTACTCGTAACTGTAAACCTACTCTTGCCCCACCCTGTATGTATTGAGCCATTTTTCTATTTCATTACCAAATAATTTAAATACCCTTTTTGTCTTTTCTCTTATTTATTTTCAAATGAGAAAAATTTTCCTCAGTAGTTGCTAATTCCAAAATTGAGTGATATGTTTATTTCTTCTGTCATGCCATCCTCTAGGTTTTAAGAGTATTACTCCTTTTCAACACTCTGACCTCCACCTGAAGTAGTTACTGAGGAACACACCTCTGAGAAGATGTGCATCTTCTATGTGTTTCCTATCAGAGATGGGCTATTCTATGCCATCACTCCTTTGGTCATATTAAAATAAGACTAGGGAGTACAGTTAGTAATAATGTAATAACTATATATGATGCCAGGTGGGTACTAGACTTATTGGGGATCAGTTTGTAAATTATATAACTGTCTATCCACTATATTCTACACCCGAAACTAATATAATATTTAATGTCAAAGTGGAAATGAAAAAAAATAATAGAGATATAATCGGCAGTTTTAATCTTTACAGGCTCTCTACTACCTGAATTTTCAGTCATCTGTTTTCTTGTTTTAATTTATATATCTCTAGGATACAATGGGACGCTATCATTGTTCTTATATATCTGGTTGTAAACTGTCCTCAGAGTCAATAGTGGGACTTGTGAGCATGGCATAACTTAGCTGTATATTGCTAAGTTCAGCAACCTCCCAAACTCTGCCATCTAAACTTGTTGGATAGAAAGGATAGGGAAAAGAAAAGATGTTTGGAGGAGGAATGGGATACTAATTAAGAAAAGATGATTATTGCCTGGTTTAAAAATAGTTACTGGTCATATGAGAGTGGCTGCTAAATTTTACTTAGTCTGAGGAGACATGCAGAATGTATCCGGGTTTAGAACCTTTTGTTGCCACTCTTTTAGCTCTAGAATATGTGCAATTAAAATTATATATCAATGCACGATAATTAATGTGGCATAGTGGAGACTCAAGTGAAATTTAGTAAATAATCTTCCAATCTCTTCATTCTATAATGTCATTGCCACTTTAATATATTTCACAAATAGTTCTGGATAAACGAATTTTAAACCAAAGTGAAAAAGTTAAGGTTCGAGTCTTCCATTGTGAACTTTGTTTAGCTTATACTTTTCTCTTTTTTTAAAGGTTCAGAATGCTTCAGAACATGAATCCTCTGACTCATACAAGTGGAATAAATATCCCTATCTGTTGGGTCATAAAACTGCTTGGTGTTCATATAATTTCACCGCAATAATCACATGGAAATTCAATCACTGGTTTGTACCAATTTCTCCCCTACTATAATGTTAATATCTGAAGTTAAGTATTGGGCCCTACTTATCATTTTATCCTTAGGGTGTAAAATATTGTCAAGTATTTAACATAAATTAATAAATAAAGGCATCATTAACTAAATGGACAAGTGAATATGAAAGAATCTACACCACTCCACAACTGAACGCAGCCGGAGATTTTCATCATGCCATTGACAAGTATTACCAATTTACATCCCAGTACTTTTCTTCTCCTTGGCATTCCAGGTATGGAAGCCATGCACAGCTGGCTATCAATGCCCTTCTTTCTTGTGTACATTAGTGCTCTCCTGGGAAATTTATCTATTCTATTTATCATTAGAACAGATTCCCACCTGCATGAGCCCATGTACTTCTTCCTTTGTATGCTCTCTGTGGCTGACTTGATCATCTCCACTACTGCTATGCCAAAAATTCTCAGCATTTTTTGGTTCCATGACAGGGAGATCTATTTTGAAGCTTGTCTTCTACAAGTATTTCTCATTCATTCACTATGTAGCATGGCCTCAGGGTTCATCTTGGCGATGGCCTTTGACCGGTATGTGGCAATCTGCAATCCTCTGAGACATTCTACTATCCTGACACACAGAATCATCAAGAACTTGGGGCTGGCTATTGCCTTCCGGGGGGCTGTGCTTTTTAGTCCTCAACCCTTCATGCTTCGTTGGCTTTCCTACTGCAGAACTAATATTATCCCTCACACGTACTGTGAATTTATGGCTCTGATCAAGCTTGCTTGTGCAGAGACCAGGATCTACAGAATATACAGCCTAACTGCTGCCTTCCTTACTGGAGGTTTAGATTTCATATTAATCCTATGCTCCTATACTGTCATCCTTTACACTGTCTTCCATCTTCCATCTAAGGCTGCTTGGCTCAAGACCTTGGGCACCTGTGGAAACCATGTGTGTGTAATATTAGTAGCCTATACACCAGCATTTTTCTCTTTCCTCACTCATCGGTTTGGACACCATGTAGCTCCTCACATTCATATTTTTGTGGCTAACATCTACCTGCTTGTTCCACCTATGATGAACCCAATGATCTATGGCATAAGAACCAAGAGAATCAGAGACCGATTCCTCCAAGTTTTGACTTCTCCCAAATTCTAAAACAACTAGTTCTTCCCTTACCATGTTTTTAAGACTTATGGGGAAAAAAGACATTAAACTTCTTTGTAGAAGAATAGATTGTAGACTTCTTTGTAGAAGGATAGATTCATACATTTTCCTATATGTTATCTTTAAAATATTAATAAGCATTGACTAGATTTTATTCTACTCAAAAATGTATTTGCCTGATAATGCAGTGTCTCCAGTATTAGGTGACATTATTTGCTATGTTTGCTCCCACAGATTATCCTGTTTTGTCTTACCAACTTTATTAGAGGTGTTGTATTGACTTATCTTTGACTTTCACTAAGCTATACTACATTTGTAGGACTTAATTAATGGGGTTGTCTGTATCTCCTGGACAATAAGATTAAAAGCATTTCCTTGGAAATTGAGGTGGTTCTAATAAAATGTATTCTGAACACAGATGAAGAAACTGTCATGATATGCCTTCCAGAGGTCATCTTGTAATTTTTTGTGAATTATTTTACTTTATCAAAATAATATTTCTAAATAATATCTACTCCCACAAACACCCCCAGAAGACATAATATGCAAAATCATCCTACCATTTTTTTCCTTTTTCTGTTTCCTCAGTGTGGTTCAAGTTGATTCTTTGAAAATATCTATAGCTCCCTGTCTCATTCTTTGATGATCTCACAACCTATATTATAACATAAGAAAACATTTTGTTTTTGTATTTCCTTGTAATTCATCTTTCTAGCCACTGTTGACTGTGATATTATCCATTTTTCTTCCTTTTTTGAGGTTTAATGACTCACATTTGTATGAAATATAATGTAGGATTAGTCATTATGGGTAAATAATACAATTATAACATTCTCATATTACACTACTCTTGATGGTGACTCAAATAGTTTTGGCATTAGGCCATAGTTAAAACATTTATACTGTTGTGGAAATAAACAAATGAGAACAGAGATGATTCATTCAGAACTTGCTCTCGCCACAGAATTAACCATCATTGTTTGCCTTTTGTAGAGATTCAAAGGCTGTCAGAGTGGCAGGAAAAATTTATAGGGACTAAAAGGGAAGGTTTGAGGTGTGCTCTGCATGGAGGTTGTCAGCAGGTCAGAACTGGAGTGGGTTAACTAGAAGTGGGCTTCTTCTACGATTGATTTAGGAAACATATTTGGCTCTCTTTAGTTGGTCTTGGAGACAAAAAAAAAGAGAGATTTGGCCATTGTTGATCAAGTTCTGACTATTTTGCATTAATTGCTGAAGAGGTTGTGGATGGGCCTTTTGGGCTTCCCCTGTGGATCAGGGTTCATTGTCATATAAGGTCTGGCCACTTTCTATGTGTTTATTCAGTCTCTGACAAGAAAAGAACTATAAATAAATAAAAAAAATTAATCATAGTTTCAGATTACTTTTTAAATCTCATTAAATTACAAAGTGAAAATATTAATAACAATAAAGAACATTTGAACAACATAATTAACAACTAGACTTAATGGATATACAAATCATTTTATATCACAACAAAGACTATAGTTGATCTTTTCAAGCACATATAGGACATTTATAGAAATTAAACATGTATTGTGTCATAGATTCAATGAATTTCAACCGATTGAAATCCTATAGTCTACATTATCTCACTACAATGGAATTAAACAAAAAAATACAAAATAAAAAAACAGTGATATGAAAGATTTCTATTTGCTTCAAAATTTAAGAGTTATATTGTTGAGCCCTGGCTGTTGTGGCCCAGTGGTTAGAGTGTCGACCCACACACCAAAGGGTCACAAGTTCGATTCTGGGTTGCAGGTTTTATCCCCTTTAGGTTTGGGCATGTGAGACAGACAACAACTTGATGTGTTTCTTTCATTTTTATGTTTCTCTCTCTCTCTCTCTTTCTCTCTCTCTTTCTTTCTCTTCCTCCCTTCCACTCTCTCTAAAAAAAAATAATGAAAAAATATCCTCAGGTGAGGATTAACAACAACAACAAAAAATTACATTATTGAATTTCCAATCAATCACAGGGAAATAAAAACAAAATAGGATTGAATAATCATTTTGTGAGATGTAGTTCAAGTTGACCTTAGGTAGAAAAGAGAGATTTAAATGTATATGACACAAAAGAATTTTGGCTACAAATAACAGAGGTAAACACACATCTTAAGAATTTAGAGAAAACATAAATTTATAACCAAAGAGAGAAAAAGAAGTAAATGATGATGAAAACAGAAAACACACAACACATACACACATGCAAGATGATCAAATAATTGATAAACATACAAACTCATTGTATGTAGGAGCTACATAACAACATTATAGATGGAAAATGGTTGTCTTTTATCATATTTGGAGAGAGGCTTTAGAAAGTATCGGAAGAGTGAAATTGGAGAGGGTGGCTATAGACAACCATTTCAAGGGTTTTGCTGTAAATGAGTAAGATAAATAGGGCAATAGCTAGCATATGAGTGGATCATAAAATGTTTTGTAAAAATAATTGATCATATCTTTGTTTTAGATGGGTTTAATGATAGCTCATTTGCATGCCTATAGAAATAAAACTGCAGGACAACAGTAATTACCCATGAGAAAGAATGTAAAATTGCTAGACTGAAATATTTGAATTGCAAGACAGGGTACGATATATAACGTTAATGGATAAGTTGGCATTTTTCAGGATAAATACAGTTTTTTCATAGTAGCAGAAAATCAGTAGTAATATATGAGCTTAGAGGCAGATAGATGGGTAGACATGTTGATGGGATTGTCTCTTGATTCTTTTGCTCAGTGAATTGGAATCTAGGTCATCATCTGAGAACTGGGATGGGAAAGAGTGACAGAGGTTTGGGTTGAAAGAATATATGAAATAATTTTGAGGAGTTTGAGAAATTAATAGTGTTCAAAATCATATACAGTATTCAAAACCCATCTGATACAGTGACTATGAATTCAAATTGAAACTAATAGCTTGGTTGTAGAAGATATTTTTCTCCAGCCATGTTTGGTAGCACAGATGTGCAGGCATGAAGTGGCCTGTTATATTAGTGAGCCAAAGATGGTCTCTGTGTATGGGCCTCTCTGACTTAGAGACTCCCCACCAATGCTGCTGAGTGACTTCACCTAGACAAGAAAGCCTCTGTTAGATGCTCTTTCTCCTCCTGGGAGTTTCCTAGTCTTCCTCCCTTATGGATGGTGTCCCCATGTAATAAACCCTGGGCAGTTTCATTCTGTGAGGTATATTTGCCCTTCCTGTCCCAGCTCATCAATAAGCCTATAAAAACATTAGTCAGATAAAATTTATATGCGCTACTGCTACCTCATGGTCATATTTTTTTTCTTGGTCAGTCCTAAAATCTCTACCATGTTACATACTATGAGAGCTAGATTTGTTGCCATTTGCCTATTAAATTGTTCTAATATGAAAGGATAAGGGAACTTTTCTATTATCATCTCAAATTCCAAACTGTTATAACCAACAATAGATTACTTAATGTAAGCCTCCAAGGTGCCAAGAAGATTAGAGTTGAAAAGTGAAAAGTTTTCTGTTTACATTTCAAGAAAGCATGAGGGTCTAAGAACCTGGAGGTTTCTTTAGGCCTTAAATAACTTTAGAAAACTCTGACTATATGGCTTTTGGAGAGATTGTATTTACATACCAAAGGGTTGGAATAAAAAGGAGACCCTTTTGGAAAAGGGTTGTGTGTGACTGTCTTATTTCCCTTTATAAGGAGAAAAAATATTTTTCCCCATATCCCAGGCCCGTGGACTGTCCAGCTGTTTGCTTACAAAGGACAATTGACCTGGCTCTTGCCACATCTCCCTGGACTAAACACCAGGGTGAAGCAGTGAGGGATGGGGCTGATTCACTTATTAGTTACTGTGAAGTTATTTGATAAGAAATCTATCTCGAATGTGTTTCTGTTTCAGAAGTCCTCTATGTATATTCAGAGTAAAATGGATAAAATGATTATACTCAACAGAGTACCATTACAAGAAAGAAAAGAGAGTTTAGGCCACCTGTAAGTCTGACTTTGGATATTACACCAGGTAAATCAGGAAGTGATGATCTGAAGATGATCAATAACAGTGGGTTGAAGTATTGGACAGAAAAATCTGGAGAGTTATGAGATAGTATGTGAAGAATAGATGATTTGAATTTGAGTTTATAGAGGGATTCTGGTTTATTATTAATAAAATACAGGGTATGGAATGGGAGACCCTCCCTGCAGTAGGATAGAAAATAAGATCTTTGAGAAGAGAAGATACAGAAATTGAAAACCCATAATATTAATATCATGAACAATTAAGATAAAAATAATCTCAGGATAAAATAAACCAGCAACTAAAATCCACAAGGAAGATGCAGTGTTTAATCATTCAGATCTGGGGAAGAGATTATCAGGTATAAAATGGTGAGAATAATGGCGATTTTTTATAAGGTTGTGTGTATGTGTGTGCCTGTCTGTTTGAACGAAAGAGAGTAACATTTATGAATAAGTAGGCAAAATTCCTGGTGGGATTGTTTGTCTGTCTGTGTGAATATAAAGGGAGATAACACTTATGAAGAATTTAGCAAAATTCCTGGTATATAATAAGCACTTGATGAATGTGGGTCATTATGACGTTGATTACAATTACAATGATGATGGTGAAACTATTTTCCTGAAAGAGTGTTATTCTAGAATTCTCCTGAGGCATTTTGAATGATTCATCCTTCCCTCCCCTCCCCTTCTTTTCCTTTCCCTTCCCTTCCTTCAACATTTTGAAAAGTGGCTACTTAGTGTGAAGTGTGTTATTATATAACGATGGTGCATAGCAGGGATTGTTTCTATTCCATAAGACCAGAGGACACCATTCATATCATAGTCTATGTATTTCATACCCCCAGGTTTATATAGATAACAACCTATATGACTGCTTACTAAACACTAGACTGGCATCATAGTCATTTAGTAAACATTTACCAATATGAGAGAATGGAGAAATACAAAGTGCAGTAGAAATGTAACACATAAGCA